TAAAGAGTGTGGTTATCTTTGCCAATCTTTACGGGGATTAAACATGGCGGCCGTAAAATTACACGGCGGTCCCCGCTTACGTATTCGCCTCGACGATCGCAACGTTTCACTAATCAACCGATTACATAAGCCAACTTGGAGCTTAAGAGGGACGCATTGTCGTTTTGGTCTGTAATCCGAGCTTTGCGAAGCCTCCGATTCACTTCCCCAATTTATTCGCTCGTCCACGCGAATCTGGTCCACAGTTGCAAGATTACGTCGCTTCCTCTCTTCGACATACTTCCGATTTCCCCTCTGTGTATCGACTTACTCGATGGACCATCAAAATCAAGGGAGGAAGCTCCCCCGAGCAGTGGCACACATTTCATCCCGCTTCAAAAGCCAGAAAAATATTAAACATTTTTTCATCAAATATTGGGTCGACCTGAGTTTCCATTTAAATACGTCAATTTCTATCACGTTATTCTTTTCAAGCGAGGAATCGAATGGTTGCTTCAACCTTAGAAAGAAATGAACATATCGATTAATATTGCGCAATTTCACCTCTTGAAATAGATTTTTTCAAATAGATAAAAAAATGGCTCGAACTTATCGGAGCTGGTACAATTATTTTACGGAATTTCATGTTCCAAAAATCGAACGGCGGAGAATTTTAATGGCGACCTCGAAGTGCGCGTAATGTACCTATATGGAGAGGCACTTGATTTTTGCTCTTAAATGACTTATCTCCGGTTCTGACCATTTTTTCCGGGACGAGAATGACGAACCCTAATCCCGAGTGTGTTATTTTTGCGAGTTTATTGATTTTCGACGACGCCGGGGATTTGGTCAGGGATTACCGCGAATGGCGCGACACACTTAGATGACACTGTCAACAAGAAAATTCGTACCAAAGATGCTGCTTGACTGATGTAATTGGAGCACCTTCGTCTCTATCGTGTGCAAACCTAGCTTTTCGAGCAGGGAGAAAATCGGTACGACTGGCTGACCTTTTTAATTCCACCCGAGCTCACCTCTATATCTACGTCCCTCGTCGACGATCCTCGTCAAAGAGTGATAACGCGAACAATGGGGGGCGAATTTTGAGAAAGAGCGTTTACCAGTCGCCGAACCCGAAACTCCGTCCTCTCTAGGCGATAATGAATGGAAATTATTGAATCCGTGGCCATAGTTCTGCATAAGCATCCATAAGGAAATGTAAATTCGGAGGGGAGAAAAAACAACCCAACCAATCGTATTCTCGTTATCAATGAGTCTCGCTTTTTGCCCGCCGATGTCTGTCTCGGACAAGAAATGTAAAGTAAATTGTTTCGATTAAATCCGAGTCCCCCGACAGATATTGTCAAGGAGAACCCGTCCAAGATAACCGATGCAATTAATGCACAAAGATTAGAAGTGCGCTCGCGTTACGTCAGGTATTGATATTGCAAAAATTCTTCATCTCGGTAGCCGCGCGTGCAACGCTTCCGAAGATGACATTGAGTGATACTAGTGATAACGAACACGATGACATTCTATTCATTAAAAGATATAAATGAAATACAGCTGAATATAAAAAAAATGAAAATCCTGAAAATATCCTATCTATTTCATAAAAATCGGAGAAAATCCGTCCTAGTGGGTACCTTCCCATCGCGATGATGAAATCATACGTTAATTAATCATAAAAGCAATAGGCGTGATAAATTGTTTGCAAACATTCCGTATTCGCGTTTTCATCAAATTTCACCCCAAAGCTGTCGCTCCGCTGTTCATTTACGAAACGCCCCCAAAGATGATCCCGTGTGATACGAATTTGCGGCTGATAACGCGCGATCTGTCGATTCCCATTTTGATGCCAGTTCGCACTATCGAATACGTATTGTCCAGGGAAATTTGCTCACGGTACCGTTGCTTGCAAATTTGGAGCGATGCTACCGATGGAAACGGGCCGCAAACTCGATAGCTGCTTCACTCATCGCCGACTAACCTTGCACTAAACTGCACCGTCCTCGATAACGGACTCGTCCATCCGGCGATAACAAAACTTGCGAACATAATGAAGCTTTTTAGAGAGCCCGCGTTTAGCCCGGGTTGCGCCAAGAGAAGGGAGGTAAAGAAGGGAGCTGCACGACGGGGGTTAATTGCAGCAAGATAACAAGAAATTCCAAAAGATTCGTAGGAAAACTCAAATTTCCATCCGAAAAATAGTACTTCTCCTCAGTAAAGAGCCCTTGAAAAATGATCTTCAGTTTTTCTGAATGTAAAGAGCTGGGTTAAATTGGGGGAAAGAAAAAAAAATCAGGTGTCTTGCGACTAAATTCGATACTTTGAATTTTCTACGGTATTTTAATATTTCATGATTTCGCTTCGGATGCATGGCAAAATTGAAAGTGATTTTTGAGGGGATATGAAACGTCGGAACATTCGTAAGCATTTACGAGACCCTTGTCGTAAGGAAACGAGCCACGCTATTTTTCTATGGAAAATCGAAGTTACGACATTACCCGGCATGAATAACGACTTACATCATTCCGCCTCGAAGACATCGAATTGTACTGCTGTCGTTTCCGTCTGAGGTGCATAAAACGTTACAGTTGTATTTGTTCTTATCGGTCGGGGAGAAAAACGTCGGAATTTGTTCGGCGTTCCGTAACTTACCGGAGGATTCACTCCGTGACTTAATTGTTTAAGCCTCATAGCCGTTTCGATCTTATACCGCCATGATGCATAATTTTGCGACAATAAAACTGTGCGCGCTGACGATCGACGACAAAAAATTCCCGCAAATACCTGCAATTTATTTTCACCGTTCTCGAAAATGAGGGGCTCCTTTTTATGCGAAGATTGGGATTTCTGGGGATTTTTCGCCGTTCATTTTTATCTCCAAGTGATACAGGGTCTCTAGGGCACGTATTCCTAGTGGCCCCGATATACGAAGTGCCCATTGTCCGAAACCCACGAAGTCGGAGGCAACATAATGAAACTAACTGACTTGGTTTGGCCAATTAACCGACCCAAGCGAGCACACAATATTTAACGTAGACGTCAGCCTCTTTCTATTCCTGACCGAACGAATCTTCCGCCACGTGTGGAATCGGGTCAATGTCAAAGCACTCGAAAAGGAAAAAAAGAAAAGCAAAATTCAATGAAAAAGAAATACATCCCTCAAAATGACAAGACGGTCTTGCGGTTAATCGCGTAAAATTGCAAAAATAAGCACGAATACTCGCCATTGCAAATCGACATCCTCAAAGGATACAATCGTATCACGAAACAATAGCAAAATATATTTCGAAAGACGTGAAAGTGCACAATACTGGCATTTTTTTCTACGTCCACCAGCATTTACAGATAAGCGGTACATAGTCGCAGCTATCACGTGTCACGGTGTAACATTTAAGACAGTTGTTTGCGTATTTGCCATTTTTTTTTCTTAATAAAAGCAATAGATCACGAACAAAAAAAAAGGTACAGGAGAACGGTAATCGCGATTACAGGTTTCCAATGCCAGAGGAAGGCCAGTATATTTTAGAATTTCAGAAAAAACCGGCCTCGATATGCATGGGAGTCTGGAAATGCATCAGGCGGTCATTCTCAAGAAGTGGGGGCAAAAAAAAGGGCGAAGGAGCGACAAGATCTCGAGGGAAACTCGCACCTCCTTCGCCTCTTTCGATCGAAGAGCTTTCATGGAAGGAAAGCCGCGAAGTCGCCCGAGTCAATATTTGACGCGAAGCAGGGCGATCATTTCGGATGGAAAAGGAAAAAAAAGGGAAAAAGAGGCGAAAAGCAACATATCACCCCTTTTCCAGATACATGGGCGGGTCAAAATGTACGAGATAAGTGATGCGCACGTCCGATACGATGATGCACACCGAGCGCTGCAACAAGTGGAGGAGCTCGCTCCGAGTTGCTGATAAAAGTGCGGATCAACTTTTGATTCCGCTTCCCGCGGCATCCCCCGATGGAGCAGAGTTTGCAGGTAAGTAGCGAAGGGTAAGTAGCGAGTATAGCGAGCATGGGTGGTTAAATCTCGACATGGGTCAATATTTGACGAGGAAGTCCTGGCAGCCGCTTCGCCAGCTGATTTACCGACCGTCCCGGCAATCCCGGCAACGCCGTTCTCAGGGATAATGATTCTTCGGTCCGCCCGAGGATAATGCCCGACTATAAAGCGATCTACTCCACTGCGCCCGAGTGCGGTAGTAATAACCTGCAAAGGTCAGCCCGCAAAGGTGCATTATCAACGAGGACTGCGGCTCGGTCCCCGGGATTATCGATCTCGGATCGATCGATCTCGTCCCTTTTGCCCGCCAAGGCGGACTCGTGTAAGAAACCGTCGACGGGAGTTCCTCCTCTGTCCGGGCGCAGAAAGTACAAATTATGCACGTAGAAATAGCCGCACCTTGTCAGCCGGATCCTGATATAGATACTCTTCATATCGATGACTCCCGGTAAGGTAATAATCGTTTAAAAAATGTCTAAGAATCGTTCTCGCACAGTCCCAATAACTACTGCCGTAATATCATTTTTAGGAACTTCTATTACGGAGAAATTAACAACTCGGCATCGGGCTAGGAATAACCTTTGAAAGATACGAGATTACGCGTAACGCTTGAAATTATTCCCTTTTGCCGAGGTTCATTTTTTAAGTCGCCTCGGGGCATTGCGGAAGCTTCTCTTTCCTTCCCTCTTGTATCTTGTAACGACGTTAATAGTATTCGGGAATTATCGCGGCCAACTTTTTAATTACGCAGGGAGTAGTTTGTAGGAACCATCGCAATAGTTCCATTTCGCGAAGGCATTAATCACTTAACGACGCGGGTGAAACAATCGCGGGCATAGCGGGGGGCGGTGCGCAGGGCGCAAACTCGCCGGGACGTTCGGCGATGTTAATTGCTCAACGATCCGGGGAAGAATGGGAAGGCGGCGATTCCGCGCGCAGGTACAACCCCCGGTAGATGTTCCCCGGCGGCAGAAATTCGCCGAGGTTGCGCGCACCGTGTTTTACAGCAGGGAGAGTTTGGCGGAAACGCGCGGCAGGGCGCGAGCCGTGCCGAAGGAGTAACGTTCGGCATTCAGTCCGCCCCGCGCTCCGCTCGAGCATCGAACTCCGCACCCTCTGGACCGGTAAGTTTCCGGGTGTCGCCCCGATTTCCGGACACCTCTGACAAAAATCTCCCCTACGTCACGAATCCCCCGCGTCCCAATTCGACTCCACTCCGGCATCGAATTCCGCACCCTCTCGGTCGGGGAGTTCTCGCGTCATCTCGATGTCGGGACACCTCTGACGACAAATTTTCCTCCATCCTCCCACGTCGCGATCCTGTACTCTGTGGACCAGTGAGTTTTCGTGCTATCTCGATGTCGCGGGATGTTTGTGAGGAAATATTTCACGCCGAGATTCGAGGGATGACGTTGAACGTAGAATTATGTGCTGTTCTCAAGTAGATTGTGTATCCGCGTTGCCGATTTTTCGGACGCTTGGGTACCCGCATGTCCCATTTTTGTGATTTCGAAGTACCCGCATGTTTGGCTCTCGTGACGGCCGTTTGCCCGCATGTTTGATTTTTGTGATTCCGGAGTACCCGCATGTTTGGCTTTCGTGCGCCTGATTGCCCGCATCTTTGATTTCAGTAATTTCGGAGTGCCCGCATGTCCGATTTTTTGAAAATTTCGACGTACCCGCATGTTTGGTATTCGTGACCCGCATGGCCGGTTTCGTAACGTCCTCGTACCCGCATATTTTATTTTTATGATTTCAAAGTACCAGCATGTTTGATTTTTGTGATGTTCACGTACTTGCATATCCAATGTTCGTTACGATCACGTATCCATACGTTCGATTTTCATAACTTGTGTACCGACTTGTGCAATTTTCCTGACTCTCAAGTACCAACACGACCGATTTTCATGACTCGTGTACCGACTTGTGCGATTTTCGTGACTCTCAAGTACCCACAGGTCCGATTTTCACGACGCTCACGTACCCGGATGTCCGATTTTCGTTACGCTCAGAAAATAAGCACGTAATTCCACGTGAAAACTCTCCTACGTCACAATTCCACCGCACTCGAGCGTCGAACCGAATCAGAGAGTTTTCGTATTACCTCGATATCGGAACACCTGACAAAAAATTCTTCAAAATCCCCCCAAATCCGTATTCCCCTCGGAATATCGAAATGACCGCTCTAAATCGATAAGTTTTCGTGCGTCATCTCTACGTCAAGACTGCTCTATCAAAAAATGTTCCAACATCCCCCCAAGTCCGAAATCCCTCCATATAATAATAAAAACTAAAGTACTTCCCCAGGGTCGTCGCGTTTTTGCCCCTCGTCATGAGAAACTCTCTAGCCCTATATTTTCCCTCATTCGCCCAAGCCCATAATAAACTTCCATACATTTGTGGATTCAACGTCATTAATGCGAGGAGTTCCTTCCCGGAAATTTATGGACAGTTTACGTTGGTCGCTTTGAAGTGCAGTTTGTAGATGTTTAAAGCTTCTTAGGAAATGTAGGTGTTGCTTTTGTTGTTCTTCGGGATCGGAAGTTAGTGATAAGTCCGTGCTCGCTAAGTGGGACGATGTGTCTCGAGCTACTCCAAATTGAGTCCACTTTGAGCTTACCGGGTAAAGCTTCCGTAAATTGAATCTATTTTGGAACGCGGGATTTGTTCTGGCGACGGTTATAAGAGCATTACGTGCCCACATAGCGGCGGCTCGATTGTTTCGATAAAACGAATACAAAAATTCAGTCGGCTGAAATTCGAGCGTAATCATCGATAGGTGTGATATCGCTTTCCTCCTCGAACCTCGGGGAAGCATAAACACCCCGTTGCTCCTAGTGACGAATCCGATAAACAGTGAAACTTCTCGGAGCTACTCGAAATACGAGACCGATCGAACAGATCAAAGTAGGTATTGCGAGAGATTTCGATTACTTCGAGTATCGGCAAGTAGTTACATGTATATATATACGTATACACAGTGCACTTTATACCGATTGGAGCGAACGCCATTGTTCGTTTCCTTTATTTTCCTCATCCTGCCCCGATTTAAAAAGAAAACCTGGGAATTGCATTTGGACGATAAATTATCCAAGACTTTGAAACAGGTGGCCGATTAATAAATTCGCCGGTCCCTCGGATGCGCTTTGGCATTTTTCCTCGAAATTGTAAAAATCTCGCAATTCGCTTCGAAAACCTTCCTCCTCCTTTTTGAAAGCCCTGAAAAAAGGGAATTAAAAATCGCGGCCTACACCGAAATTACATTAGCTCTCTAGAGTGCTGCTCATTAATATCGTCCTGCCAGTGCGTAGAAAAGAAATCTGACAAAGTCGGGAAAACGAAAGTAGGTCTCCGGCTGCGTTGGAAAAATTAAACGAAGCGACATCGCTATCGATCCTCGATAGGAAATCCCTAGCTGGCACGACACGAGGATCTCTCTCCTGGAGGACGTTTCCATGAAAGGATAATCACGGGTGTCAAATAGGACAGAAAGGGGAGCGTGTTTCGAGATTGCACCAAAGCCAGGCTTCGATTTGAGCGATCCTGCACGAAGAGGCCTAAGTTTTAATGACCCCGTGAAAAATTCAAGCCACGTCCATCTTCTGACATTTCACATGACAAGGATTAAAAGAGAAATCCTCAAACGTATTTTCGTCTCCAGAAAATGATTCTTATGTTTAATTATTTCATGCCTTTAAATCGGAGTCGATGTAATTTCCTTCCCGTCATTTTCCACTCTTAACCCCTTGGCCTATACGATATATGCCAATTGCGTGTTTTTGCCACGAGTCAGACTCGTGGTTATAGGTCAAAGGGTTAAGGGAATGTTAAAGTGTCACCGGAGGAGTCGATCGTTCATGAAACATTTCTCCGAACTTAATGTACCGAGTCGTCTCAAACTTGACAACGTGAATATGGAGGCTATAAGGAAGGTCCTAACACCCATGAAATTTCATTATTAATATAAAATTGTAAGAATGCCTATAAAGACATTTTTTAACCATTCAAATTTCATGGGTGTCAGGACCTTCCTTATAGCGTCCATATTTACTTTGTCAACTTTCAAACAATTCGATACACTTAGTTCAGGGTAAAGTTTCATAAATGAGACCTTTGTGTTGCCACTTTTACATCGCCTTAACCCCTTTAGTGCCGAACAACGATATATCGTCTTCCGATAAGTGATAACAATTTCGGTCGGCACTAAAGGGTTAACAATATCCCTTTCCAATGCAATAAGTGCGTTTCCCCGGCTCGCTAATCGCGGATTTTTTTCCCTCCGGAAATCGCAAGTGACTGGCTCAATGGCGGCTGTAATTAAATTGGAATTTACTCGTCTTCGTCCGCGATATAACGGAGCCAGTTTCCTGAACGGTGAATCAGAAATCGGTTCCAGGGTTCCGCAACTCCAAGAGGGAATTCCTCAGCATCTCGCGGTTAATCTCTGCCTCCCCGCCGATATGGAGGAGGAATGTTATCGCCATTCCGACGAGCCACTTGCATTTTTCATCGAGGCAGCCACATTCCCCGATTTTCCGGAATCCGGAATTTTCATCGAAGCCTGGAGAACCTGGAAATAACTAAAATGGTGAATAAAAATATATACAGACTGCCACTGGCAGAGCTAAGTTTAATTTTCGCTCTTTTTCCGAATGTTCATTTATGCCGTTGAAAGGGATACGATACATCGTACGCGTACCGTGTAACAAATCTTGCCTTACGAAGAGGAGAGGAGATAACGTTGTCATCGGCTGAAATTGGAAAAAAAAATTGCCGACGAAGGGAGAGCCCTTTTTGCACGTTTTCGGGTGGCGTTGCCTAGAATTCCCGACGTTAGCCCCAGGGAAACGTCACAGGTTAAAGCGGCAGAGTTAAGTTTAATTTTCGCTCTTCTTCCGAATGTGCATTTATGCCGATGAAAGGGATACGATACATTGTACGCGTACCCGCGTAACAAATCTTGCCTTACGAATAGGAGAGGAGATAACGTTATCATCGGCCGAAATTGGAAAAAAAAAATTGCCGACGAAGGGAGAGCCCTTTTTTGCACGTTTCCGGGTGGCGTTGCCTAGAATTCCCGACGTTAGCCCCAGGGAAACGTCACAGGTTAAAGCGTCCATTCAACGTTTAATAACCACCCTCTGAACGGCCATTTACTGCGCTTCCGGTTCCCCTCCGATCCCATGGAACCAATCAGGAAGTTCGAACTAGTTGCTTTTCTCCCAAGGGAACTCCAGCGGTGTTTATATTTTACAGCTCTTGCCCTGTTCGGAAATAGTTGACTGCAGGAATTGTTGGATGCAGTCCATTGAATCGCCAGTTCGCATCTAAACCTCGATAGCGTTCCACCGATAACGTAACTCGAGCGATTCCGAAAGAGGGAATAATTAAATAGAAGTTAAAACCACCTCGATTCGAAACTTCCCTTTTTCCCCGAGCATGGGATTACTCGGCAATCGAAATTAATTTCCCCCGAGATGAGCGCAACTCCAGGCTCTTGAAAACTTGGTTCGGGAAAAAAGAAAAGGAAAGAAGTCGAAAGAAGAAAACCGGGGCCATTAAAAAAGAAAAATAAAAACATTGCGATTTCCATAAATTTGCATGATCCTTTCGCCGCGTCAAAACTCGAGGCGCAAATAAACCGGGAGGGGGAAGTTTTCCATGTCGGTGGTTTATGGAAAAAAGGAAATACGAATTTCCCGAGCTTTTTCGGGACGTCGGGAAGTTTTGCGGGGGAAATCGGAGGATTTAACTTTTTGATTTCCCGAAGAACATCTAGACTCGATTTCGTGCCCTATTTGCCGGATAAATCGAGCTTTATCGGCGCTGATTGAAAATCGAGGCAAACTTAATTAGACGTAACTTTGGGGTGCTTCCGCGAAAGCTGTAAACACGCCAGGGTGAAGTTTTCGATGGCGATCTAGCGATCGGGTCGATCGAATCTACGGCAATATCGTTATCGCGCCTCGTGGGGGGTGTAATACCCCAGGGTGAAAAATAAGCTTCCGATGGGGATTCTCAAGTAGGGGGAAGTTGGAATGCGCCGGGGAAACTTGCCTCGTTAAAATTCTTGGCGAGCCGGGGTCTCGGAGGGCAGCTTCACGGAAAAGGGAAGTTTCCGAGG